CTGAGAGCTGTGATGTTCACTTGCTCGCTTGCTCACATGTTGTGGTTGTTATTGACCAGCTGTGCTCACAGGGGCAGCTTCTCTCAGCCGTTACCGTTTCCTATCGATTGATCCTCTGGTCTGATCAGTGCCATTGATTGCACCAATGCTGTTTTCAGTTTTTAAACGCATAAACATGTTACCTGTGAATACCATGAAATCACTTAACCCCACGCTTTAAAAAACTTTATACTTAAAAAATTCAACTCCACATGCATGTGCGGTCACATGTGAAAACACTTTAACTCCATGTGCCCCACGAGGTTACACGGGTGCTTGTGTCAAGTAATTGAATTACTTGGCTGATTCTGGTTCGGTGGATGGAGAAGAGTATAAGGTGTGAGTGGAGTAGCCAAAATGCCTTGTGATCGGTTGCTGAAAGCCACAGATAGGTTCACTTGTTAAACGGTGTCTACTTCGCTGCAGGAACCAGGCCCCAGGCTGCTCACACGGAGCTCCACACACCACTCAGGGTCCAGCAGCCGCCCAACATCACGTCCCAGCACTAACTGTGTGATGGTGAGGCCCAGCTCAGCCCTTTCCCGGGATAAGGCCTGGCAACAACAACATTTCCTGGGATTGGGGTTCAGATTGACATTACTATTGGGATTATGGTGGTTATTAGGATTTATTTAAGGTTAAGTTTGGATTTGGAAATAGAATTGGCATCGGGGATAGGGTTAATGATTAGGGTTGGGATGAAGGTAAGAGTTGGGAATAGAATGGATGTTAGAGTTTGGGTTCGTCGGGATTTGGAACTCATACAGTGGCGTCAGATGCTCCAGTGCAACGCTGGGGAGAGCTGTATTGTCGGAGTTGTCGTACTTTGGATGAGATGTTAAACTGAGTTCCTGTCTGCATCTGTTCACGTGGATGTTAAAGATCCTGTGACATTATTGAAAAAGAGAAGGGAGTTTCTCCCTCTCTCCCGGTATCCTGGCCAACAATGCCCCATATAAAATTGGTCACTCACTCCACAGCACTTAATTCTCATCATATGTGGGACATTGCTGTAAGCAGAGTGCCTGTCGTGGTGAGGTCAGGGGAGGAGCATTCTATGGAACATAGCTCTGACACACCTTATAAGCTTTACAATGCAGCCACACAGAGTGAGTTAGTCATATTTGCATGAATCAGTTGTTTACCAGAAGCTGGTGTTATTTTATGGGCTGCATCAGGAAGCATTGGATGTAGCAGCACATTTTCCATTTGCTGTTCACTGACCTCACCTGTGCACCCGGTCACATAGTTGAGAGTGAGGGTTGGAGTGTGAGTGGGGTCCTTTGGGAAGGTGTGTTGCAGATAGGGGATGTCTTGCTCCAGGCTGTTGTTGCAGCACTCGCTCAGATTAGCAAATGTTACACAACGTTTTATTTTCAAGGGATCTTAATTTTCAGCCAAATTGCTGGAACAGCCATTGACTTGGACAAACCAGTTCCTCAAGATTCAGGTGCCAGACACTGTCTGGGTTAGCAAGAGAGGGAGAGAGAGGAGAGAATGGGGCACACACAGGAATTACGATAGGATGGGAGAGCAAACAACGACTTGCATTTATATAGCGCCCTTCACGCCAGACGATGTCTCGCAGTGGCGGAGCCCGATGCCCAGCACAGTCGAAGAGGAAGGTCTTCAAGCGTGACATGAAAATGGGGAGAGAGGGGGCAAGGTGATGGGATTGAGGGAGAGAGTCCACAGTTTGGGATGTAGTGGCTGAATGCACGGCCACCATTGGTGGGGCAGAGGGTGTGGGGACCAGGAGGAGGCCGGAGTCAGTCGAGCAGAGGCAGCGGGTAGTGGTGTAGGCAGAGAGCAGGTTGGAGAGATGGTGGGGGGTGGGAGCCAGGGTGTGGAGGGCTTTAAATACAAGAAATCGATCTGCTCTGTGACAGGGAGCCAATGTAGTTTGACAAGGCCTGGGGTAATGGAGGGACGGAGTTTAGTGCAGGTGAGAATGGAGGCGGCAGAGTTTTGAATTCGTTGAATTGAATAGTTGGAGATTGACGAGGAGGGCATTTGAGTAGTTGAGGTGGGGCAGAAGCGGGGAATTAGGATAGGATAGTCAGGGCCTAACTTACAGGGAATCCTGAATTTCTGGGAATATTACAGTGAAACCACAAAGTGTGGAAACTAGATCCTGCTTGGGATCACAGAACAACAACAATTTGCATTTACACAGTGCCCTTCACATTGGGTAGCATCTCGGAGCGCTTCAAGTGGTGAAGTCCGACACCAAGCCAGGGGGAGAGGGAGGTAACCGTAAGCACAATCAAAAAAGGAAGGTCTTCAGATGGGATATGAAGGTGGTAGAGGGAGGTGGCAAGGTGGAGGAATTGAGGGGGAGAGTTTCAGAGTTTTGGGGCATAGCGGCTGAAGGCACGGCCACCGATGGTGGAGTGGAGGGGGTGAGCGACAAACAGGACGCCAGAACCGGCCGAGAGGAGTTGATGGATGGTGGAGTGGGGGAGGCGGGTGGTAAGCAGAAAGGTAGGGAGTCACGAGGGCATGAAGTAATCTGAAAACAAGTGAAAGGATCTTAAAATCGATCCGTTCAGTGATTGGGAGCCAGTGAAGCCTGGCAAGGACTGGGGGAATGGAGTTTCTTGTGGATGAGTGGGGGTGAGGGTGTTTTGAATTAATTGTATTTTGTGTATGGTGGAGCTGGGGAGACCAGCGAGGAGGGCATTAGAATAGTCCAGCCGGGAATTGGTGAAGGCGTGGACGAGGGTTTCAGCTGTGAGGCAAAGACGGAGGCGGGCAATGTGGTGGAGGTGGAAAAAAGCAGGGCCTGGTCAGGGAACAGATGTGGAGTAGAGAGGAAAGCTGGGGATTGAAACTGACGCCTAAGTTGCGCACAGATTTGGAGCGTCTAAGGGAGAGCCCAGGGAGGTTGAGGAATTCGGACCTGCAGGAAAGATGACACAACGGGAGCCGTAGAGTATGGCTTCCGTCTTGCCGACATTCAGCTGCAGGAAATTTGTGCTCTTCCAGGCCTTGATGCCCTGGGGGGCCATAATAACAACAGTTGCCATTTATATTATATCATTATATTTATGTATTATTATATTTATATCTTTGCTGGAACAAAGAAGGTTGAGGGATGACTGACCCGATTGAGGTTTATAAAATGATGAGGGGTTTTGATAGTCAATAGGGAGCTGTGATTTCCACCGATCAGTGAGGCAGTGACTGGAGGGCATGGATTTAAGATTATTAGCAAACAAGCATACGGGGAGGTCAGGAGAATATTCACACACAGAACAGTTAGCGTATGGAATGTTCTGCCAGGAGTGGGGCTGAGGCAGAATCCATAGTAGTTTTGCCCACAATATACAGTCAATTCACTTTACGGTACATTCTGTGAAGCACTTTGAGACGTCTCAACGACATGATAAGGCGCTGTATAAGATGCAAGGATTATTTTGTTTTCAAAAGGGAACTAGACAGATATGTAAAAAGGAGTCAATTACAGGGGTATAGGGGGAACAGGCAGGTAAATGGGAATGAAAGGATTTGCTGTTTGAAAGAGCAGCACTGGTGCGTCAGTTTAGACTAAATGAGTTCCTGATGTGGGCCTTGAATCCACAACCTTCTAACTCAAAAACAAGAGTGTGACCTTGACAAATGACATTGTGATTGGGAGGAACCTGCTGGTCAGAGATAATAATAATAATATTAAGCCTTGCATTCGATACAGTGCCTTATCACATCTTCGAGACGTCTCAAAGCTCTTCGCAGGATATACTGTAAAGTGAATTGACTGAATATTTTGTGGGCAAAACACAGCATGCAATTGCGCACAGCAGCGTCCCACAAACAGTCGTGGATTGAAGTGACCAATTTATTATTTATATTTTTTGAAGGATTATTACGCCCGATAAGCAAACCGCCAATCGACTAACAACCGGGTTCCTACTTACTGCTGGTAAACAGAGGTGTGTGGAGTAAGGAAACTTGTGCAATGTTTCGTCCTGACCAGGAATCAAACCCAGGTCCTCTCGCTTGC